AAAAAAAAAGAAGAAGAAATATAGAAATGAATAAAATCAATTAAATTGATTTTTGTTGTTTAAAGTTTCTCCATAACAGAAATAAGAAGTGCATAAAGTTGAGTTGCAGTTTCAACATGAACATGTTCTTTTGGAGTATGAACATCATGAACTGATGGTCCAAGAGAAATAGAATGAAGGTTCAAATTCTTATATTTTTCCATAATAATAGAATTTTCAAGACCAGCATGGATTGCAACAGTTTTAATTTCTGATTTGTACATTTCTTTATAACATTCTTTAAGAGTCTTAAGTAAATGATTATTTGGTTCAGCTGGCCATCCACATGCATCATCAACTGCTTTTTCAAATGTAGCTCCATGACATTTAAACATTTTATAATCAGCTTCAACAAGAGTAAGCATATCTTCATCTTTACTTGAACGTGCAAAAATAGTAATATTGAATGTATTTCCTTCAAGTTTACCAATAGAAACTGATTGGGATGTTTCAACTAATCCTTCTACATCTTCTGAGAATCTAAGAACTCCATGTGGAAGTTTTTCAACTAATTGGAGACAATTACATGTTGAAGTATATGAAACAATTTGTGTTCCTTCAGCAAGTGGTGTTGATGAAACATTAATTTCTGGTTTAACATCACTAGTTCCACTATAAAGAGTAGTAAGTGCTTCATGATTAGCTTTAATTTCTTTCATAACAGCTTCTGCAATCTCATTTGGAACTGCAATAGTAACATTAGCATGAGATGGAATAGCATTGTGAGCATGTCCTGCTTCAAATTTAACAATATGATATTGATGTTTATTAACTCTTAAAAGAGAAGGACTATGAATAATAAGATCAACAACCCATTTAAGTGCATTAGCTCTTTGATGTTGAATATCAACTCCACTATGTCCTCCATTAAACTTTTCAACAACAATATTAATTGATGTTAATCCACTTTTAGCATTTTCAAATTTAACTGGAACTTTTCCAACTCTAAATGCTGTTCCTGCTGATGAAATTGTAACTTCTCCCCAATCTTCTGAATCAACATTAATAAGATATTTACATTTTTCTGTTAATAATTCACCTGGAACAAGTCCTGCAGCTCCAAGACATCCAATTTCTTCATCTGCTGTAAAAAGAAGTTCTAATGCTGGATGTTGGAATTTATCTCTAAGTTCCATATATGCAAGTCCACATGCAACTCCAGTTCCATCATCTCCTCCAAGAGTAGTTCCTTGTGCTGATAAAATACCATCTTCAAGTTTCATTTTAATTGGATCTTTAGTAAAATCATGTTGAACTCCTGCTGCAACAGTTCCTACCATATCATAATGTCCTTGAATACAAACTGATGGTTTATCTTCAAATCCTTTAGATGCTGGAACATAAATACAAATATTCTTTTCTTTATCTACTTTATATTCTAATCCTGATTTCTTTGCAATTTCAATTAACCAATTAGATGGTGCTTCTCTTGCTCCTGATCTTCTTGGAATTTCATCTAATGCAAGGAACCATTTCCAATATACTTTTGACCCTTCATCTTTACAAATATTACAAAGTTGGTTATACATTTCCATAGAATGTTCATATTTAAAGAGTGATTTAGCGTCCATGTTGTTATTTCATTTTACTTTTAAGTTTCTCTTGGTTTTATATCAACTGGAATGGTGTAGAAGATAAAGTGCTTAGTAGAATCTTATTCTATGACATTCTCGAATTATTTGATTCTAATTTTGTTTATTCTTATTTAAATTATTTCTTTCATATCTTCCTTTTATGTGTTTACTTTCTTCTTTTTTATAAAAACTTTAATAACCAAGAACTTTGAAGAATAGAACTAAATATTTTCTGAAATTTTCAGATTGGTATTGAAAAATAGATTTGATTGGAAAGTTCTTCCAATCAGAAATAAAATATGAGTAATGGTGATGAATTTATTACTATCCACAATCCAATTTATATATATCAGAAATATGGTATTGGAAAGTCTTTATTTAAACAGAAAGGGATAGACAAAGATGAACCAATAAGTATCATTACTAAGATTGAATATGTCTATCTTAATGAATTGAATGAAATTAATAAAGAAGACTATCGAAATATAGTATTAAATGAAAAAGAAAAAATGAAATATCAATTATATTGTGAATTAAAAAAGAAAGGTTTATTTATTAAAGATGGATTTAAATATGGATGTGACTTTGTTGTTTATAAGAACCATCCACAATATTGTCATTCATCTTATGGAGTAATTTTAATGAATATTCATCAATCTTTAATAAATAATGAATTAATTGGATTATGTAGATTATTACATAATGTAAAAAAACATTTATTACTTTGTAATTATGATAATTCATTCATAACAATGAAAGAAATTAATTGGGTTTCAATGGAAAATAAGT